GACTTGATCAGGGTGTATGATCTTGATGAAGCTCTGTATTCTGTTTGCCAAGGAGTTGGCAATATTAAGATGGGGCTGGAGGAAAGAGAGGCCTCAGCAGGGAGGGTGCTGGATAAGGCTTTGGTTCAGTAGTGGTGATGGGCACTGGTCCATTTGTTGCACTGTTGGGACCATGCTTTGATAAGTGAGCTGACAGAAGAGCTGTGGAGACCCCTGACCGCCCCACAACCCAGGTCATCTTGTGAGCCCTCCAGATTCTCCCATGTTCATTCCTCAGCCCAAATCAACATGGAGGCACGTGTGTCTTCTTTATCCAGACACATGGGACCCTGCTGTCTCCTGTCCTATGCCAGCTGGGCTGTGAGTAGGAGAGAGAGAGGGAAGAACACAGCTGGAAGTGAAGGATATTTAGGGTTTCTACCACCCACCAGGAGGCAGTTCAGGACTTGCAGATGCTGGGCAGTGCAGTTGCTTTATTCCTTTCCTGGAGAAGGCTGTGAGTGGTTTTAGAATTACCCCTCGGCCAAGGCAAATATACATTCTTTTTTAGACTTTGAGTTATTGATCTGCTATTGGTAAGATATGTAAAGAATGCTTTTAAAACATGAAATCAACTAATTGTACTTTCTCCTTTTGTTAGATAAAGCTATTTTGGAGTAAACCTAATGCTGAACCATCAGAGAAAGTCTCTCTTAGGATCTCTGTAACACAGCCTGAGTCCATTGTTGGGATTGTAGCTGTTGACAAAAGTGTGAATCTGATGAATACCTCTAATGATATTACAATGGAAAATGTGAGTTTAGTTTTTTAATTACAAAGATATATGTTAGAAGAGAAAAGTGCAGTTGCATTAGTTTAAATACTTAAGGGAAATTCATTAGTTTCTGTGCATTTATAAGCCAATAACCAGTAAACCTCCAAGTGGAAAAGAATCTGTGCACAGTTGTTATGTTGGAAAGAAGCTTATGTGGTTGGGTTGCGTCTTTTCTCTTACAGGAGAAATACCATTTTAGGTTAAATAGCAGGAGTGCTCTCTGGAGGGTACAAAAATAGGGGTCATGTAAAAATTATTAGTGCGCATTACTTGTACAAGTAGTGGGTTTCATTCTGGCATATTTATACATGCATATAACATACTTTGCTCATTTCATCCCCACACTACACCCTCCTTTCTCTGCTAGTGTACCATGGATCATTTTGAATGTTGATCTCTATATGCTGATCTTGTCAATCAGTAACATTTAAGTTCTTCCTTGGTAAAACTCAAGGCCACGCTTCTTAGGAACTCTGGGTTCCTGAGCGGAGTCAAACTAAGTTTAAATAAGAAATATAATTTTGATGGATTGAATAATGAGCAAAGCATTGGCACATTATTACTCTTTGATTTGTATCATTTTCCAGTTGATAAGTATGGGGGCCATGTCTAATGTAAGTTATTCATAAGAAATATCATGAGACATTGATGTGAATCCATTCATTCTGTGTATTTTATGTTCTTTGTAGGTGGTCCGTGAGTTGGAACTTTATAACACAGGATATTATATAGGCATGTTCATGAATTCTTTTACTGTCTTTCAGGTAGGTTTAGTTTGCTATATAATTTGAAAGGATATTAATACATGTTACTATTGGAAACACTGTCAAAGTTAATGGTCAATATGAAATGTTAATCTTTTGTTAATGTGTCACTGAGTACACTGTTAATAAGTGTAATCTTAAAGGAGAGATAATCCTTTCAGTTTTAAAAACAAATAAAAACATTCCATTAGAAAGATTAATGAAATTATCATTAAACAAGTAACTTATTTTCCTTTATCTTTGACTTTGAAATAGCTGTTTATACATGTATATGTGTGTTGGGGGGAGAGAGAAAATGAGAATGTATGTATCTAGGCTCTCAAAAATGATCAAGAGTGAGTCAGAGTATGAGACACTTAAATGTGGTTAGAGAATATGTAAACTTTTAAAAGAAAATTAAAATTACTTTTTTTAGGAATGTGGCCTCTGGGTGTTGACGGATGCAATCCTTGTGAAGGATTATATTGACGGTGTTTGTAAGTAGGACTTGGCCATATGCTTGTAAAATATTTGTCTTTTACTTTGCATATTTAACAGCATTCATGTAGGTATGAGTCCTTTCTGCTTGTGTGCGAAAATATTGGGAAAGAACATGCAATGCTCATCTGAGCTCCTATCTGATATTTGAAATGAATGCTTCCCATTTGCTTTTTGTAATTTTTTGAGGAGGTTGTATTGGAAGATCCCTCTTCTTCTCCCCTCTTCCTTTCCCCTCCTCCTCCCCCTCTCCTCTTCCTCCTCTACCCTTTCCTCTCCCTCCTTCCCCCTTCTTCCAAGGAGGGTCATTTCTGTATCCCCAGTCCATGAATTGCTACAACATGTTGGCCAAGGAGGAATAAGAAGTATGCTTTTAGAGAGAAGTCATTATTTTCTTTTCTGGTACTGGGTATTGAATCTAGGGTGCTCTACCAGTGTGCCACAACCCCCCTTTTATTTTGAGACAAGGTTTGGCTAAGTTGCGTAGGCTGGGCTTGGATTTGTGATTTTTCTCCCTCAGCCTCATAGAATGTTTTGACTGAAAAAAATACATATGTAAGAATGGTTAACATAGAAGTTTCTCTCTTTTTTTTGGGTAAAATCATACTAGTATATTAGCTGGAAAGCATCTTCAAGATTTGTAACCATTTCTGTCGCCATCCTTGCTCTGTCAGGGTTCTCAATTACTCTGCACCAAGCCCCACTGCCTGGCTTTGGGCTGTTCTTGCCACCACAGAGAACCCCGCCCCTGTGCTGCAGCTGAAAAGAGAGTTTCACAGTCTTGAAGATTTAGCAAGTTATCATGACCTCTATGTATTTAAAACACGTGGTGCATTCAGCTTTCCTCAGAGAATTCTCTGTCCTACAGTCTTCCAAACATCTATCCATTTTTCAGTCACAGCTTTTGCTCTGCTTACCAGGTCCTGCTGATGCTCACTGTAATTCTCATTTTATTGTCAGTAACATAGTTGGGCCTCCGTATCTGAGGGTTCCACACTGGTGGATTTAACCAACTGTAGATTGAAAATATTTTTTAAAAATAGTGTTTGAGCTGGGTGTGGTGGCTCACACCTGTAATTCCAGCACTCTAGGAGGTTGAGGCAGGAGAATCAAAAGTTCTAGCCCAGCTTGGGCAACTTAGTGATTTAGTGAGACTCTGTTTCAAAATTTACAAAAATGGCTGAGGATGTAGCTCAATGCAGAGGCCCTGGGTTCAATCCTCAGTATCAGAAAAGGATTTCTGGCCTGAACATGTTGAGGTTTTCTTTTTTTCCTGTTATCATTCCCTAAACAACACAGTATAACAACTATTTAAATCATATTAGGTGTTATATGTGACCTAGAGATGATTTAAAGCATATGAGAGTGTGTAGATTATCTGCACATACCATACCATTTTTTAATAAGAGGATGGAGCATCTGGAGATTTTGGTATCCACTAGGCTCCGGAACTAATCGCCCAGGGATACCAAGGAATGAGTACACTTACTCTGTCCTGTACCTTTTCCGAGAAACTCCAGGAGAAACCTGACATTCCCACTAGCATATTATGACCCTGGAAACTCTCTCACGTGGAAGACACTCATTTTTCTGCTTCTTTTCTGGCTCAGGGTGAGTAGGTAAATGAGTCCAGGATTTGCTTGGCTATTTTCAGACCTTATTTAAACAGCCCTCAGTTAAGAGCACTCTATTACTTGAAGCTCAAAATTTCAACCATAGCTTCTTCAACATTCATGTCACTGCTTCCTTTTTAATCTGTATACAGCTGATTCTCACGAGAGACTCCAGAGTTACTCCTGCTGTTTACTGGGGGATTTGAAGGTCCGTGTGTTTGGCACCACCTAGTGGACACATCGTGTGGTGCCCAGAGCAGGGTCATCACTGAACACTTCTGTACCTCTGACGTTTCCGATGCTTGTACCTTCTCCTTTATGTTTCCTTCGTCTTTTGCATTTATTATCTGTCTTCTTTGGTCTTCAGTCTTTTGGTTTTCAGTTCTGGTTATTGGTTTCTTTTGCCTTTAGTTCTCTCCAATACCTAAAGCATAGATTAATCGTTTTGATAGAACTCTGTCCTAGTTGCTTGTCCTTCCAACACATCTTCCTCACTACACTCAACTCTGGAACAACTCGATGATTTGTCTTACTCTTTTGTTGCTGTACCTTGATGCCTCACAAATACCTCAAATCCAGTGTGTCGTAAATCAAGTTTAGAACCTCTCTCCTTAGAACCTTGCTCTTCCTATGAGATGATTTAATTGATACAGTTCCTTGACTTGATATAATTTCATAGCTCTTGTAATAAAGTAGTCACCTCCTCAGATGTCCATCTTTAATTCTTTCCAGAACTCATTCTTAACACCTCGTACTTAATTCCTTCATGAAGTAGCACAGTGGCTAAGAAAGGAATTTACTCTCACACATTCCTGGCTTTGAATTTTGGCCTTTTGACCCTGGGAAAATTAATTAAACTATCTAAACCCCAAGTTTTCCTTTGCAAGATAGAGTGAATGATATTACATGTCTCGTAGGATTGGTATGAAGGTCAATACAAAACCATAGAATCATCCTGCATGGAATGGCTACAAATGCAGTTTGACATATGGGTATTATTTCAACAACTCCAAGTGTTTAGCACATGTTTGGCACTTGTAAGTCTGCAGTTTCTCTTTTTATCCTTTCCCTTAGATCTAGGGCATTCACTCATTATTCAATAGGGAGTGATGATGATCTTACTTGCATGCTTTACATGGGTAAGGCGTGGGGGGATTCCCAGCTGGCCGGCAGAGCCAACCAAGACACACACTGAGGATGGTGCTAAGAGCAGTGCCAGAGAGGAGTGGCCTCCACAGTATATGGGGACATCCATGCTGGGACAGAGCTTTGTCAGCTCCTGAGTCTCTCACCTCCTGACCTTGGCCAGGTTTCTGCCATCATCAGCTTTCCCTGACCATCTCAGAAGCTTTCTAACTCCTTGTTTTGCCCCAGGTCTAAGCCATTGTTCACCCTGATGCCAAAGTTGTCTCTATGAAACATAGGTTAGGTCATGTTTTTAATGTATTTTAAAACCTTCATTGAATCATTATTCAATGGTTAAGTCCAAATCCTTCAACATGGCATAATTTGATATTTTAAAATTTGAACTCAATGCAGATAACATAAAAAAGCTGTTCACAGAAGTAATGACAGAAAACTTCCCAAGTAGGGGAAAAGAACTTGACATACAGATAAGGGAGGCATATAGGACTCCCAACTAGCTGTGATCAAAAAAAATCTACACATGTGCATATAATAGTTAAGATTCCAGAAATGCAACAGAAGAACAAAATTCTACAAGCAGTTAAGAGATAAGAAACAAATCACATACAAAGAAAAGCCCATCAGAATCACAAACGACTTCTCAACACAAACCCTCAAGGCAAGAAGAGCTTGGAGTGATGTATTTCAAGCCCTAAAGGAAAACAGCCTCCAACCCAGATTGATGTATCCTACAGAACTATCTTTCAAAATTGATGGAGAAATAAGATACTTTCATGACAAAGAGCCCCTTAGGAGCTTCATGAATACCAAACCAGCACTCCAAAAAATTTTAGACAATGTCCTAGGAAAAGACAATGAGGATCACAACCCCAGGAAGCCCAGCAGAATGAATCCAATGAACACAAACAAGAAATTAAATGCAAAGGGGGAGAATCCAACAAAAAGAAAAAGTCAAGACAATGATAAGTCAATATGTATGAATTATAACCATCAATGTTAATGGTCTCAATTCACCAATCAAAAGAAATAGACTGGCAAAATGGGTCAAGAAGCAAACCCAGCAATATGCTGCATACAAGAAACACATTTAATTCAAAAAGAAACTCATAGACTGAAAGTTAAAGGGTGGAAAACGATACTCTGGGTGACAGGAACCTGAAAAAAATCAGGAGTAGCTATCCTCTTTGCAAATCAAGTGGATTTCAAACCAAAATCTGAAACCCTTCTAGTCCCATGAATTTCAGATAAGGGATAGTCAACTTGTATGTACAAATCTATTGTGAACATGTGTTTTTATTCCTCTTAAGTAAAAATTTAAGAACAGAACTGTTGGTTCTTAACAGTAATACAAGAAGTTTCTGTATTATTTTCCAAAATGGCTTTATCATTTTACTTTCACATTAGCAGTATTAGAAAGTTCTAACCGGTTCACACCTAAACTGACATTTGTTCTTTTAAAACTTTTAACTTAATTTCCCTAATGAGTGTATAATACAATCTCGTTATTGTACTGATTAGTATTTTTCTGATTCTAGTGTTGCACACCTTTCCTTGTTCTGTACTGGCTATTTATCATCTTCTTGTGTTTACTTTTTAATTGGGTTGTCTATTAATGAGCTGTAAGAGTTCTTTTTTTTTTTGGTACCGGGGATCGAACTCTGGTCCTTGTGCTTGTGCAGCAGGCAGCGACACCACTGAGCTAAAACCCGACCCTACTTTTCATTTTCTTAATGATGTCTTTTTTTTTTTT